ATAGCAACCTAACATCCAGTGATCCACCTCGGCAGACAAAAGAGAAGGCAGTTGGACACCCACCACAAAGCATATCTCCCTCGGCTGCCACCTCTCAGAACCGACAGGCAGCCTCCGGAGATACACCCGTTGCCTGTAGGACATCTTGCCCTACCTCCTGGAAATCCGGGAAGGGAGCTGGGCACTTCCAGATGATCCAGATTCCTTGGTAAACTACAGTACTCCCGAGGGACTCCACGGAGTGAGATGAACCCCAGCACACTTCCCCCTACCTAGAAACATAATGCCAGAGGGGAGGACCCCAGAGGCTACAAACTGGATGGGGACAAGAGTGGGTTGGGAGGGGAAGGAAAGGGAAAAAGGGGGGATGGGATAAGGAAGGGGGCATTGAGGGGCAATTGGGTTTGGTCTGAGGAAGAAGACCAAAAGGTCTAATTCCTCAGATCAAGAGCCTCTTCACCGTGCCAAGGATCCTCCCTTGAAGAGGAGAACCAATCAGAAGCCTTCTGAGAAGAAGCGCTTACTAAGTTGACTTGAGCAGAAAAAAAATAAGTAAGTTCATTCAGATATACACAAATAGTTGCATAGATTATCATACATAGCAGCATATGTGTAGAGAACCTGGGATAACCCAAAAAAGTCAGACAGTGACTTATTTCCATGTTACGACTCCAACATTTACATAATATAGCACATATGTACATAAATCTTGTATTTATGTAGACTCGCATCAAACATACACTTTAAACAGTTACAGTCTGACTGGTGGACAGGGTTATGGGTATGAGGTATACACTGACGTAAGGGTGTGCCATCCTGGCGGGGATCTGCCCTAGTAAGTTTATTCAGGTATACATAAATACAGTTACATAATCATATATAGCAGCATATGTGTAGAGAACTTAGGATAACCCAAAAAAGTCAGACAGTGACTTATTTCCATTGGGGTCCTTTTGTTACCATATCGATAATATTATGTTATAAAAGTTATATGTGGTAGATAATAAATTATATAAAAGTTACACACAAAACAAATTATTTAAAATATTGAATAATAGATGATAAAGATAAACAGAATACAAGAATTATGACAATATATATAATATGAAGAACATTAAATTATAATACATTTCACTCTGAAAATCAATTACCAATCTGTTGAAATTGCAGGAACATACAAAAGAAATATATTATAGAATGCTAGTAAAATAATGAATAATCACTGAAAAACAATGAAAACTAGAAGACAATGAATATATATCAGAAATTAATAACCATCTCTAGGGAATGCATTTGTCCTAATAACAGATGTTGATAGGGACTTGTCCATCCTTGGTGGGGCAGCCAGACAGGCATTGCCAAATAGCAGTAGGTTGTGCCAGGATCCGTTGTTTTCACAGGCATCATTGACTTTCTTCAAGAGGGCAGTGAATTTGCTTGCAGCTTGAGGGAGAGCTGCTTTGGGGATGTGTGTCAGCGTCCTGGTGGATGTTAATTTGATTGCAGATTTTAGGTCCTCTGTAGAGGTGAAGTCGCGGTAGCTGTCAGCTCTGTCTGCTGGGGGGGGGGCTGTTGGTTATTCCCGCTTGGAGCTCTCTGGGAGCTTAGAAATCCATTGTGTGCACGGATGTTGAGATTTGAGGGACTGAGTGCACACTCCCTGTGGCACACCTGACAGTTGCCTTGTGGAAAAATTCCATTGCGTCGGCTCTGTAGTAGAAGTTCCTGGGAACCCAGCACATCATGTGACATCGCTGACATCATGGGTATAGGAGGGCACCAGCGTGGTGGCCTGGTGAGGTTTGAGGGACTGGGAGGGGAAAACTGCCCTCTACAGTTGGGGTGTCGCTGGGAGTTATGTGTGTGAGGAAGGGGAGTTAATGGTGAAGCCGGGGTGATGGGTTATGAGAGGTGCGGGAGGGTGACTACCCAACACACAGGGCAAACCTAGGGAGAGGGGTGAGGGGCACTGTACACTACACACGGATTGCACGCTGTTGTTCACACTGTCATGCAAATCATGAAAGATGTGGGTATGTGTACTGCTTAAAATAAGTGTGTTCCCTCATCTTCACTTTACACACCCTGCCTCTCCCATCTCTCCCCTCTTCCGTGGCGGGGGGAAGCCACTGACTGGTCCCGACCTCACTCACACTACACAGTCCTAAGTAAGTTTATTCAGGTATACACAAATACAGTTACATAATTATACATAGCAGCATATGTGTAGTGAACTTAGGATAACCGAAAAAAAAGTCAAAGTGACTGTGGGAACACCGGGATGGCAGAGGTGGTTGGAAGATATATCTATATAATAATAATATCTTTATTTTACTACAAATACATGTACATAGTATACAGTCCTAGCTGACATCAGTAACATACTACTATATAGAAAGCCGCTTGTTATGCTGAGCATTTCGGACAAATTAGGTCAGTGTCCCAGGATGCGACCCACACCAGTCGACTAACACCCAGGTACCCATTTTACTGATGGAGAACACAGAAAACAGGTGGAAAGAAACATGCCCAATGTTTCTACTCTGGCTGGGAATCGAACCCGGACCCTCGCCGTGTGAAGCGAGAGCGTTAGCCACCAGGCCTGGTGGCCACAGTTAGGCACCTTCAAGGAAGGTAAGGTAGTTTAGACTGTTAGTAACTAATATTAGGATTATTGAGGCAACTGTAGATAATAATGTAGACCTAAAACCTTAACATAGGTAGGATTAGGCCTTCAGTATAGGTAAATGTTAGGTTATATTAGCCAAGGAGAAATGGCAACTCCCATGCTCGAACGAGGGACTGTGGGTATCACGGACACTCGAGCGTTCTTTTAAGATAATACACCATCGGAATGATAAGTGCAGTGAACAGCTGTTTAGCGCCCCCACGTGTGTACACAAACTAGACCCTGGGAACTGGGTGGAGGAATCCTCGAAGTACTGGGGATACTCTCCGTCAGGCCCATTACAGTAAGACAAGACCTTCCTTTCTTTCTCAGTATTCTGACCAGTTTTCTGAGGGGAAACGTGAGTTGAACTGTGGGCCGATTCTGCAGTCGGACGCCAGTAGACCAGTATGTACCGGCGTCCCCTCTAAGTATAAGTTTAGAAGCTAGTGTCTCTTACTGCATATACTTGGGAATACACACCCCCTTGGAATCAGGAATTTCTGAGGTGCAGGTAGGTCACTAATGCCGATTGAATATTGCAGGAATTAAGTCTCTGACTGCGCATGGTGGCCCGGTGGCCTGGTGGCTACAGCTCCCGCTTCACACACGGAGGGCCCGGGTTCGATTCCCGGCGGGTGGAAACATTTCGACACGTTTCCTTACACCTGTTGTCCTGTTCACCTAGCAGCAAATAGGTACCTGGGTGTTAGTCGACTGGTGTGGGTCGCATCCTGGGGGACAAGATTAAGGACCCCAATGGAAATAAGTTAGACAGTCCTCGATGACGCACTGACTTTCTTGGGTTATCCTGGGTGGCTAACCCTCCGGGGTTAAAAATCCGAACGAAATCTTATCTTATCTTATCATGGTGACTAGTCGAGAGGGACTAAGGCTTAGGGAGGTTGGAAGACCGGGTGACATATTCTTCTCCACCTAGTAAGTTAACCTTTTGGTCGTGCATGCAGAGGGGAATTTTCTTGCAAGTTCAGCTATATGGAAATGTATCCTATAAGCCACTTGTGAGCTCTGAGAGAATTAGTCTCAGTGTGTGTCAACAGTACTACCAGGGGAGCAGCTTACAAGGAGGCAGTCCAGACAAATTTCCACTGTGACTTATTCCCATAATTGTTCTATAATTACACTAATATCAACACTAAGGCTTATTTACCTTTCAAAATCTGGCATAATATGTAGGTCTGCCGTCCTATCATGGAAGGATTATGATCACCGCTCTGAGCATAAGGTTTATTTACCCGTTCTCTCGGGCACTTAGAATCAGAGAAAATGAAGTATACCACAGGGTAAACTGTATTAGACCTTGTAACATTCACATTTCCCGAGTACCCGGGTATACGCGTTTTTTCGGCGATTATCTCGGAAGTAAGTTATTCACCTATTTCTTGGTGACCCACCATTAATAATAAACTGATTGAAGTGTCTTCCACAACAAACATAAGCGAATGATTGTTTTACACGAATATGTATAAATTTTTGAATTATCCCAAATATTTTAAGATTTGTGTGCGGTAAAAGGCCAATATTTTCCTAAACGTCAAAAAACTTATAAACTATATTTTTTTTAAGATTGAAGATAAGGTTTATGACAGTATTTATTGATATGGGGTAATAGAATTAGCACTGTTGTATCAGTATAAAGTGTTAAAACAACTTTTCTCAGTGCAACTTCCGGCGGTCATCTTGCCAATTGTTTAATATGTTTATTATGCACCCCATACCCATCCTGTGGGCGGTAGTCAAAAGATTACAGAGGCACATAATTGGTCCAGGGACTGGGCCTCAAAGTTTTGATAGCTGAGCAAGTTACAGAGGTAATGAATTCACAATTTACAAAGGTAATGAACTCACAATTTACAAAGGTAATGAACTCCAGGTAGGTCTAGTCACAATCATGACAAGTTACAAAGGTATTTACAGATTACAGAGGTACACAATGGGTCCAGGGACCGGGCTCCAAAGTTTTGATGTCATTTTTAGTATTTTTTTTCATTTGCTTTTTGGCCGACAGTGGATATATGCTTCTGACAGTAGACCAAAAATGGACGAAATCTGTCGATAAATCTAATGGGAAGGTTTGTAGAAGAAATAGCGAAAGATGAGGAAGGGTAAAGGCGAGAGGAATAAAAGGGGAGTAGGCAAGTGGTATCCATGTAACTAATCAACAGTATACAAGAACAACGGGAAAATATGTTGTTGCTGTTATGAGTAAAGTGTCAGTTGCTATGAGCAAAGCATCAGCTGTGATAAGTTAAATGAGATATGATGAGAAAAGTTCCAGTATTGATGAGTCAAGTGTCAGTGTTATCAACAGGTGGTGGGAGCCAAGGAGAGAGAGACCTCAGCTTTCCTCAATGGACAAAAACCCTTCGACCCAGTGAGGTATTTATCAAAGCTCAACTACCTGTCATTTGATGATTGTTTCACTCTCGTTGAATTTGCACAAAATTAATTCCAGTAACATTACCTTTGCCTTGTTTTATCCACAAAATTATTTCCACTAATGCTACCTTTGTCTTGTTTTATCACGTATAATATTACATACATACATATACACACACACACATGTATATATAAGTACTACTGAAGGTGGCTGAGCGCCGTATCAAAGGATGCCGCCTTTTCACACCTAGGTGTTACTTCCGGTGTAGGGTTTCTTCTGTACGTCATAAAGGGTGCCGCCTTTTCACACCTTTATGCTAATGACCTTGACCCCACCCTCGACCACCTCGACCTCAACACCCCCACCCGCGCCCTGCGCGCCCGCCCGACCGGCGCCCTGCGCGCCCGCCCGACCGGCGCCCCGCCCGCACGCCCGCCCTCGCGCCCGCCCACGCCTTCTGCAGCGCCTTCTGCAGCGTCCGGATCGCCCCCACCCCCCGAATTTTTTCCGATTTTTTTTTTAATTTTTTTTGAATTTCATTTTCTTGTGCTCTCCATCTCCTAGGATCAAATTTTTTGGGTTTCCCCCTATGGGTACCCCTTCCACCACCCATTTCCATCCCAAAATTCCTGCTCCATCTCCTTGGATCAAGTTTTTTTCGATATCAATAATACAAAGACTCCACTTCCTCGGATCAAGTTTTTGAGGTTCTCCTTCCCACTTTCACCCCCATCCCAAAATTCCTGCTCCAATTCCTCGGATCAACACCCTCCCCCACACCTCCCACCATCCACTTCTACCCCAAATATTCCTGCTTCATCTCCTTGGATCAAGTTTTTCTCGATATCAATAATACAAAGACTTCACTTCCTTGGATCAAGTTTTTGAGGTTCTCCTTCCCACTTTCACCCCAATCCCAAATTTTTTTTCGAATTTTTTTGGAATTTCATTTTCTTATGATCTCCATATCCTCGGATCAACACCCTCCCCCACACCTCCCACCATCCACTTCTACCCCAAATATTCCTCCTCCATCTCCTTGGATCAACTTTTTCTCGATATCAATAATACAAAGACTCCATCTCCTTGGATCAAGTTTTTTGGATTCCCCCCTCTGAAGGTAAGCATTCAAATGAACTCCCCCTATGGGGCATGGTACTTTCTCTTACTACAGGTCTAAACAAGTGTGACGTCACTCCACCTGTGTTTACTCAGCAGTCAGTGACATGTGACCTCACACACACAGGCTGAATCTTGTCGACTTCCCCCTATGTCAGTGACGTCACGTGATAACCTCACACAGACCAACAGGCTGAATCTTGTCGATCAAACATTAACTTAAAATGCAGGATAACACTAATATACAATATTTTCATTTATTTATTTATTATACAACCAATGCATTTCATATACATCCAACAAAAAAAATTAATTGAAAAAAGGCACAATTCATTGACTAAAATCAACACAGAGTAATTCTTTTTCTCTTGAAGAAATTCTGTGCATTTTGTTCTGGATCTTCTTCGTCGTCACCATCTCAATATTACACATTTCATATACAACATAGGGAAAACATTACACATTTTCACCCTTAACCCAGGATAACCCAAATAATTCCACATTTTTTCGTTAATACCCACAACAATCCACAATTTCTTTACAAAAGATTCACTCTCCTCAAGTCTAGACATTTTTCTCGTTTTAACTATTTCATCAGAAAAAGTCACCACAACACTTACAACTTATAACCACTTTTCGATAAATTCACTAGTCACAATTTTACATATTACGAAGTTAATACGCACACACCACACACAACACACACACACACACACACACACACACACACACACACACTTTACTTTGAAAACCTTCAAAACACTCTCATAAATCATTGAATACTCACAAAAATACCTTTGAACATTTTCCAAACAACGCTGAAACACTTCTAAAATATCATTTTGAATACTCCCAAATAAGATTTGACATCTCTGATTTATCTACACTTATATGATTTCATTAAATTACAACTCATCCCCCAAACTCCTCCCTCATTTTCCAGATTTTTACAACAGTATCACAAAAACTAACTCAAACACCATCAATTACCTTTGAATACTCCAAAAGCATCATTCGAACACAGCCAAATCACCACTGAATACTCCCAGAACACCTTCATAAATACTCTTGCACATCATTTGAACACCTTCAAAAACACCTTTGAATAGTCTCAAACACCATTTGAGTACTCCCAAATACACCACTGAATACTACTAAAACACCACTGAATACAGTCAAAACACCACCAAAATCATCATAAACGAAGATCAACATTACAGACTAACACCAATTTTCACACAAATCCCCTCAAATCACTATAACCAAGACGATTACCAATTTATATGAGTACACTCACCTCCAACTAAGATATAACATGAATGCAAAAAAACATGAACACAATCCAAACACACACGAACACTTATAACAGAATCACTTCTTTTTCGGTATCTCTAGTTCGACAACAACGCCCACAACCCACAACACCCACATCCCACAACACCCACAACCCACAATTTTTTCTCGTTTTAACTAATTTCATCAGAAAAGTCACAACAACAACCCACAACTTATAACCACTTTTTCGGCATCACTAGTTCGTGAACAATACCCACAACCCTCATCACTTACCAATTTATTCACAATTTATTCGATACAAATTTTTCCCCTTCTTTTTACTGAATCTTAAATGTAATGCACATTCCTCCCTACATTACTAAAATTCTAATAAAATCCTCTCCATACCCATCTCCTTGTATCCACATAAATTGATAATATACACACAACTAATCATCTCACTACCCAACTACTGCGACATGTTTCAACACCCTCCATTCTTTTCCAATGCATCATAATTTTTCACTTCTATAATTTCTTTTAAAATATTCACACATTACCTTTATTTTCAGTAAAATCCCCCCTCCCACATATTTCATTAAATTTCTAATACAACCCTCCCCATACCCCTCTCCATCTCACCCACATTTCTTCACATCCACTCACCCGTCTCCCAACAAGAAAAATAATGTTCGATTTTAAGATAAAGTCTCCAAAACTAATTTTGGAAATATCCAAAAATGGAGACGTTCAAAGTAATTCTGGAGTACTCTACTGTATTTTGGAAGTGCTCCAATATATTTTTTTGAATGTGTTCCAACGATATTTGGAAATGTTCTAATGTTATCCCAATCATTTTGTTCATATTACCGAAATCGAGGGAATGTGGCTAAAAATGTGATTTATATCATATCTTAGTTGGATGTGTTCGTGATATATATATAAAAAAAAATGATGGGGGTGTTCGAATGATGTTTTTGGAGTATTCAATGGTAATTGTTGGTGTTTTTGGTAGTGTTCAAAGTAAAAGTGAGTTGTCAGTGTGTTAGGTGGTCATAGAATTTTGTGAATATCTTGGTTACAGTGATTTTAGTGGATTTGAGATGGGTGATGAGATGCATTTGTGGATGTGAAATGTGATTTTTTTATTCTGAAGATGTGTGTTGGGAGATAGGTGAGTGGATGTGAAGAAATATGGGTGAGATGGAGAGGGGTATGGGGAGGGTTGTATTAGAAATTTAATGAAATATGGGGGGGGGGATTTTACTGAAAATAAAGGTAATGTGTGAATATTTTAAAAGAAATTATAGAAATGAAAAGTTATGATGCATTGGAAAAAGAATGGAGGGTGTAGAAACATGTTGCAGTAGTTGGGTAGTGAGATGATTAGTTGTTGTGAGTATATTATCAATTTATGTGGATACAAGGAGATGGGTATGGAGAGGATTTTATTAGAATTTTAGTAATGTAGGGAGGAATGTGCATTACATTTAAGATTCAGGAAAAAGAAGGGGAAAAATTTGTATTGAGTAAATTGTGAATAAATTGGTAAGTGATGAGGGTTGTGGGTATTGTTGTCGAACTAGTGTTGCCGAAAAAGTGGTTATAAGTTGTGGGTTGTTGTTGTGACTTTTTCTGATGAAATTAGTTAAAACGAGAAAAAATTGTGGGTTGTGGGTGTTGTGGGATGTGGGTGTTGTGGGTTCTGGGCGTTGTTGTCGAACAGAGATACCAAAAAAGAAGTGATTCTGTTCAATGTTCATGTTTTTTGGATTGTGTTCATGTTTTTTTTTTTTTTTCCATTCATATTATATCTTTTTTTGTAGGTGGTGTACTCATAAAAATTGGAAATGTCTTGGTTATAGTGATTTGGGGGGTTTGTGGAAAAAAATTTGTGTTAATCTGAAATTTGATCTTCGTTTTATGTTTTTGGGTGGTTTTGACTGTATTCAGGGTTTTTTTAGTATATTCATAGTGTATTTGGGATACCCAAAGGGTTTTTTTGAGATTTTAAAAGGGTTTTTTTTGAAGGTGTTCAAATGATGTGAAAGAAAATTTATAAGGTGTTCGGGGGAGTATTCAGTGGTGATTTGGCTGGTTCGAAGAGTTTTTGGGGTATTCAAAGGGAATTGATGGTGTTTTTTTGGGGTTGTTTAAAAATTAAGTGGTTTGGTTGTTTTGGGTGTGTTTGTGTGTGGTGTGTGTGTGTGTGTGTGTGTGTGGTGTGTGTGGGGTGTTGTTGTAAAATTCGTAAAATGTAAAAATTTTGGGCTAGTGAATTTATCGAAAAGTGATTATAAGTTGTAAAGTTGTGGGGACTTTTCCCGATGAAAAGTTAAAACGAGAAAAAATTTTGGGTTATGACGAAAAATTTTGAGATGGGGGGGAAGGGGAAGGGAGAGAGAAGGGTTTCTTGTAGGGGAGGACCCACTGTTATCTGAGATCGGTCAGATAAGATCAAACCCAAATTTTTTGATGAAAGTTAAAACAGAAAATGTCTAGACTTTGTTGTATTTTGTAAAAAAATTGTAATTGTTTTGGGATTAACGAAAAAAAAATGTGAAATTATTTGGGTTATCCTGGGTTAAGAGTGAAAATGTTTTCC